GATGAATATTGCTGCGATATAAAATAGAGGTGGATATAATAGACAAAATATTAATGGACCATAATGAAAAAGAACTTTTCCTCGTCTATTTTGAACTATACTTGGATGAAAAATAAGCCAATTTCGTTCAATACTTGCAAATGCCATGAGAAACATATTGATAATATTGAGTGAATAATGAATCCAAGTCCATAATGAACAAAATATGTCACTTGTAGGATAAACATAAGATGTGTAGAGAAATGCTTGGGTGAGAGGTAATGCAATGGTAACAAAAAGAAAAGAGATGATCAGAAGAAGAAGAATGACATGATGATTGAGAGTTTGTCGAAGTTGTCGTTGACGAGCAAATTGATAGAAAATCCAAAGAAAACAAGGAATTGAGAGAAGTTGAAGTAGTAAAAGTATGATAAACTTGATACGATTTACATTAAATGATGTTGTCCATTGAAAACCTGATGATATTGTTGTTGTGCTTAAACTAATATTCGAATCCATGGTTTAATGGAATGATATTTATTTTAGCTGTAGTATTAATGAGTAGATCTCAGTAAATAAAGTGCATTTTATGTCTGTATTTAATGTGTCATTATATTAATGAATACTCTTCTTTATCTAGAAGTGTAAGTTGATGAGTCGGTCGATGACAGCTTAAAAATATCAATTTTTTTTGCCTGCCGGCGGCAGCGACTGAAGTCAAAAAGTTTATCAGCGATGGCGGCTTGAAGGTGTTAAAATTTTTTCGCTCGTCGTCGGCGGAAATGGCTAGAAAATTAAAAGAAAGAAATTTTTTTTTCTAAATTAAAAAATATATTTATTTCAATATCTCAGTCATAAACTATTCCATTCTTTCATAGTGTATGTACGACACAAAAATGTAAAAATCAAATTAAGATCAGCAGAGAATCATTAACAATGTTGCAAATTAAATAAAGGTTAATATAAAAGAAGGGAAATTTGCACTCAGATAGATATCAACGGCAGCGCCTTACACCTCTATCTCTATTTTAAGAAGATTAGTCCAAACAAATATAATAATAGGAAATGAGTACTGTATCAGTGATTAATTTTATTTTATAATTGTTTTAATGCAAAAATATTTACATAGATAATCGAAATTGTTATTTAAATCTTGATTATAGGTTTTATAGTCCCATCTTAATATGATATATTACAAAGATTATTTTATTTAGATGACGTCAGTACTTCTCTTACAATTTCTTATAGATAAATACAGAAGATTATTTCGATACTGTATTCATTAGCACTAAATAATTCTGTATCATTAAAATCCTTGTTATTCAACTTACAGATTATGTTTTTCTTTCTGGTTCATTCTAAAAACTTTTCTTATTTATAGTTTAATTATATTACATATTATAATAAATATAAATTAAAAGAACATATAAATAATTGTCTTTTATAAAGGCACATACTTGAATGCTGAATAGAAAACTCAAGTTTTTCTAATTAATTTATTCAAGAGAATTCCAAATAAAAAAGATTTTTCTCTGCAGTATTTTATTCAAAATCGAAGTAAAAAAATGTAACTTTCTATATGAATTTTGTTCAATGAAAATTGGTAAATAACTAAGAGAAAAATTTAATTGCACAATTATTGTATCAATAAAACTTTAGTTGTTTTTTTTAGATCGCCCTCTTTTTATTTTTTCTTCTAAAAGTATATCCTTTGCTGCTGCTGATGGTTTGCAGAATTTCATTCTATTGACATGCCAACTATATGTTCGCAAATGTATTCTTCAACGAAATTTGGACAATTAGAAATCCCACTGTCGAATATTAATAATCAAACTTAGCAATTAGATTTTTTAGTGGGAAACTTTAAATAAATATCAACTGAATATGACCTATAGTGTCAAGTGAGTTGTTAGATGTGTTGACGTCATTGAATTATTTATAGTCTCCTTGTTCTGTTTGATGTATTCAAACTTTATATAATTATAGTTAAATTTTAGCCTCATTATTTAGTTCATAATTTGAACTAATAAAATCAAGCAGGCATCCAGAATAAGCTATGGTTGACCTTTCTTTGTACCTGATATAAATATTTTGACACGTATAATATAGAAATTAATAGAAAATTTTCATGTCAAAAATCATTCTCTAATTTTGTTTATCAGCTAATAAATGTTAAATTCTAGAAATGTGTAAAAATCTTAATTTTTGTTGAAGAGCGATTTGATATTGTCAGTGATTGTTTTGTTTAATTTTAATATCTACAAAATCGCATGAAGAGAGCTGTTCACATGATTAACTATAGAATTATATTCGGTTAACAGTGTGATACTCCAAAACGATACACGTTCAATACCCTCGTTTTCATATTAACAATTTTGTATCACTCTACCATACACAAAGAGACTGAATAGGCCATTTTCTAGCCCATGAAAAGCGCTTTCGCTTCAGCGAATACCTTTTTTGACATACTCTAAATTTTAATTGAACAAAACCTTTTTTCTATTCCGCTCTGTTCATGTTTTGAGAATCATGCGTGAAGGTTCATGCCAATTTGAATTTGTTTTATCATAAGTGAAAAATTATTACATATTCAAATTTATTATTAAGTGCATGGAAAATATTTTTTGCAATGCTTGAGATACATAACAAGAACGATCGATGATTTCAACGCGTTTTTTTGTTGAGGATTGACCGTTGAAACCTTAGATAACTTGTTTTAAGCTCTTTTAGGAACAGCATATTTGAAAACACAGAAAATTTGCATTTTAATTGGGTTTCAAGTCTGATTTTCTAGAAAAAATGAACTATTCATTTTTTGAAAGTGTGTCATTTTAGAGCATTGCAGTGTTCACCAGATATTAACGACTCGAACAACTCTTTTCATGAGGTTTTGCAGAGAATTGCATGGACTATCTTCTAAAAAAAACTCAGGTATCTGGGTCGTAATTTGGCCGAGATATTGAAGAAACATTTAGAAGGACATTTCTCTTGAGACATTCATATTATCATTTGAGAGTAATAATAAATGAGTAAAAATAGCATGAATAAAACGTTTTACTATGCTAATATTGAGTATCTATCAAAGTATAATAATCTTCTGTTTGATATTTTGTTGTTCAAAAAATAAAATCCATTGAATTCAAATTTAAAACTGCACTCTAAATAATTTCAAAGTAATATTTTGATACATCTTCAGTTTTGATCTATATATAATCTTTTATTCAATAAAATATGATTTAAAATATAATATTTATTACATAGGATATAGACGACATTGTTTTAAAGAAGGTTCATGTAAAACTTTTACAGATTTATGTTTCTTCTTCTGTTTCTTCTTCTTCTTTTCTAATTGTTTTTTTTCTTGTTTTTCCTTCATTGCTTGTCGTTCACGATCGACTGGATCAATTTTAAATACATATTTTAATATATCCATTGTAACAACAAATATAAATACTCCAGTTATTGCTGCAATAGCTACTGATACGAATGATTTACTTAAAATTTGTTTTACTTCCAATGCTGTACTTATTTCTTCACAATATGTGCCAGAATAAAGTGTAGGACTAAGACATCGACATGACCATGATAAACGAGATCGTATACAAAGACCATTATTTTTACACGTTATGTTAAAACACATATCAATTAATGTTTCGCAATGTGTTCCAGTGTATCCATCTGGACATATACAAACATATGGTGTTTCATTAGCAATAGATATATTTCTAATAAAACATGTTCCACCATTTCTAAAGATTAAAATTAATTCTTTTTGTTTTTTTTGAAAAATCTTATCTTACAAACATGTATTATTTTTACAAATTCTATTGTCATTTTCACAATCATAACCAGAAAATTCATTCGTTTTACATGCACAACTATATTGTAATTCAATCGTACCATTTGAGTAACAAATAGCTTCGTTATAACATGGATGGTATCGTTCACATACATCATTGGTAATATTACAATAAAGACCCATATATGTTTCATCTGCACATTTATATAATGGCAGTTCAGATTTTATTGGTGAAGTTGTAGATGAAGTACTTGTGGTTGTTGAAATTTCACATACAGATATAGGAAGATCTTTCCATTCTAAAGTAATATTTTCCGAATAAATATCAATTAATTCTGTTAAACCGTCTTGACCGGAAACAGATTTTACTAAATAATTGTATTAGATAAAGATTTCTACAATCTTTAAAAAAGATTTAACTTACAAGAAGTAATAAGAAGCAGTATTACCAATTGAACAATCATTTCTAATATGATTGTTTCCGTGTATTTCTTTTGTTTTTATCTTAATATTATAATAGAGAATGAATAATTTATATTATTGATTTAAATCTACACGTTTAATAATCAGTTCGATAATATGAAAGAATAATTTCGATAAAAGCACGTATACAAAAGAAAATAAGAATATATATTTATTATGTCACGAGGGTTCAATTATAATAAAGAATAATTAAATATTCAGTTTAGATGTGTACAATCTCCAATATGATTGAACGATATAAATGAGTTGTAGAGTTGAAAAATATATACACACGTTCATCATCAAATCAAACGCTTCTAATACTGTATAGAATTACTTGCCTTTTTTTAGTTATTTATTAGCCTACAGTTTATTCATGTCTCACTCACTGATTAATTTATTTCTTAAAAAACAAGGAAAAAAACCTCTTTTACCGAAATCTTCTGTTCTCAATTCCTACCTTATACGAATCGAAATTCCGATCTCTATTTTTGTTTATTTGCTTATCCTAAAAGATATATATCGACGTTCAGCTGAATTATTTATACGTACTGCTACTTGTTCATTGAAGTTTGTTATATCCAATGATCACATTGTACTACCGACGATTACGACGAGTCATATTATACATACTAGATTAAATTTCATCTGTTCAATATTACAAAACCATGTAAATCTAAGAGTTATGCATCAAAATTCAAACTTATCTTCTTTTCTCATATATTTTATTAATTAATAGAAATGATTACAATTAGTAAACAATAGAGAGTAATTGATAGATTAGATAAAATATTTGCACTTCATATTTTTTTTTTCTAATAGTTCAATAACTATATCCGGTTGACTTGTAATAAAACCATCGACTTGTACTGTTCGATGAAAAAAATTGATTAATTGTTCGAAATTTCCTTTGTATGTATCATGTCGAAATGTCCATGGATAAACAGCAAGATTATATTTATGAGCCAATACAGTCAAATTTGTTACATTAATAATCGATCCATCTGCAGCGAAATTAACTAATAATTCCATATTTGGTGCAATAGCTTGAACAAATGTTTTTAACTTTTGTAAACCTTCTTCACTTCGATAGAAATCAAAATTACTTGAAGATTCATTTAAATGATTCCATGTTAATAAAGCAATTAAACGTAATCGACTATTTAAATTCTCTCGAATATATAATAAGTCTTCAATATGAAATGTTTGAATAACAATTGGATGATGAGATTCAGTTAAATTATATGCTTGTAATGTTGAAATTAGAATAGATGAAATTGATGTATTATATTGTGAATGATATTCTGGATTTTTAATTTCAATCAATAATTGATATTGTTGATTTGTTGAATGACTGAGACCAAGTAATAATTCAATTGTTTCATTGAGTGTTGCAAGATGAAATGGTATCGATGATGACGAAGGAAAACGAGCTGGATAAACTTGAGTATTAGTAAATGGAATAATACGTTCATGAATAGTTAAATTACGTAATTCATTAAGATCAAAATCAATAACATAATGATAACCATCTGAACGACTTCGATTAGGATATATATCTTTAACATTACTTACTGCATTTAAATAAAGATCTATTTAGAAAAAATTTAGGTAAGTTCTTTTTTTTTATATAGAAAATATTAATATTTTTTTTTACCATGAATAACAATTAATTGATTGTCTCGAGTAAGACATACATCAATTTCAACCATATCAGCTTGATAAGCATGAGCTATTGATTGGGATTCTAAAGTCAGTTCAGGTAAATAAGCTGAACCACGATGACCGATTACTAATGGACGTTCAATTCCTTGGCAAATATTAACAATAAATATTAGAATTAGATGAATATTAAGCATATAACAGAACATTTTATTCAATAAAATATCAAGTGTTATTCACTCTATAAAACAATTTGTAAAGGCGTTTTCGTATACAAAGATTTTATCATATGTTGTAAATATTTCAAATAGATTATCAGTTTGTCGTACTGATTTATTATATTTACGAGTAAAAGAATTGGCCTTGATGATAAATATTCATTGTAAAACGAAAAAAAGAAAAACATTATTTTTATTATAAAAATCAAATACAATAAAATCTTTTTTTAGTTTATAAATTAAGATGTATTCTGAAATAGTATAAGATACGTCATTTCTAATTGTCATGTTTTTTTCATATGATAAAATATTGAATAATGTATTTCAAAAATGTTAAATGAAATATTTGTAATCTTCTACAAATTTTCATTAGATAAGAGAACGTTTGTTTAGACCATTTAATATGTCTTCATATGGGATTACCTTGAATATATAAAAAGGATATATTCGGTTATACCTGATCGAATTGAAGCATACCTTCATAATGCGCAGATGTAGGCGCGTGTAAGGTTAGAAAAACAATAACATAAAAACAAATAGTCATTGATAAAAAAACAAGTGATTTGATGAACACGTGAAGCGTAACCTAACAGAATTTTAATCATTGTCTTAAATATAATGCACATAAGCAAGCTAGATTTTAGTTTTCGGAAGATTTTCATGATCTATTCTTTTCTTCTAATTATTATTATCATAATAGTTCGATTTCTATTAATACACAATGAAATATTAAAAATTCTTCTTGATAAATATTTAATAGATCAATTTATTTGTTTGTCATTGTTATTAACCTATACGAGAGCTTTTCAATAATCGTAATAATATTAGAGAAAAAAAGAAATTCAACGCAACTATCAGTTCACGAGTTAAATCATGATAGAAATGACTTTCTTCTTTTTCTATGTTTAAAAATGTCTGGTTGTCGACATCGATTAGTTGAACTTTTAATTACGATAGATTGTGATCTACGACGTCAGTTTTACTGATGCATTACAATTACAAGGAAATCGGAAGTTATTATAAAACTTGATCAAACGAAAATCTGTCAAAATCAATGATACAATAAGACAAATCTTATAGCAGATCAAATCTGTAATTTAACATAGATTTCTACAGTTACGAACTACGAATAAATATACAGTATTCGAAGATTATCTATATAAGTAAAAGAACTACGTTATGTGTTATGATAAAAATATTTTTCTATTATTTAATAAAGAAATGATGAGTCAAAAATACAGTAGTAAACCAAAATAAAATTAACTATATAGGAATTGATTTTACAAACAAAATAATTTTATTTAAAACTAGAGTAGTGTGGTTAAAAGATTTTTTTACATTCAAAGCAATAGTATGTACTGTTTCAAATAAAAAAAATACATGGAATAGTCTTATTTAAATTTGATAACCTTTTAAAGAACATCTGATATTTTAATTAATAAGACTAACTTTAGAAAATATAAAATAATCATCCTATCACAACAAAATAAAGAAATTCTTGAGTCAATGTGGTAATTTAAGGTTTATATGATGCAAATGGTTCTGATTTAATTGAAGATCTGGTTGCTTTGCTATCAAAAGACGCATAAATATGGGTTTCTGCATGAGCTTGTGAAAGTTGTTCGTTAAGTGTTGTAAAATGCATTGGTACTAAAGGTCCATAAAGAGTCGGAGTTGTTGGATAAAGAGAATAAATAAATCTGGCTTTTAAGTCTCTTCTCATATACATTAATAACGGTTTTTCTTGAGTTTGTTCAGCTAACCATGGACTATATTTAAGAATTACATTTTGAATACGTTTTTGAGAAAAAAGATTCTCTGCTGAACGAAGAACACTTTGTTCAGATCCTTCAACATCAATTTTAAGTATATAAATTGAAGTTGCTGACCATTCAACATCATCTAATCGAATAGTTTGTATTGATATAGAATCAGCTGCTGCATCATCTGGAGGCCGATAATCCATAGTTGAATCAGTTGGCATATCATTAACAGCCTTGTTAAAGACATTAACAGGAGGTGATGTAAATGTATTATGATTCATGGATGACTGAATAAGAGTAATTAGTTCTTTTTTGATTTCAAACAAATACACAGTACAACCACATGCTGCTGCATAAAGACCAAAATTACCTAAAGAAAAAATTTTTTTTTTTTGAATATTATACAATATATTTTTTTAATATACCTAGAGAAGCACCAACATCCACGACAATCGTTGATGAATCTCGTTGACATGTTTCTTGAAGATGCAATTCTTCATATAATTGATTTAGTCCTTGATCACTTTCACTAGCTGGTTTCTCACCAGATTTTGTTGCAAGTTTAAATGTTGGTACTCTATCATTCATATCAATTACAACTTCAGTAAAATTTCCTGCTTTAGGACTTTTAGTTACTTCATCGTCCATCATCATAAGGTCTGAATCTGATATGTCCAGATCATCTGAGTCATGAAATAATCGAGAAAATTCTGCATATGAAAAATTATGAATATGATCCAATACAATAAGAACTACAAGGAAAATTATTAATACATTATACCAACGTGGTTTTGACGAACGAGTAAGTGTAGAAACCGAAGGTAATCGTAATGGTATCCATTTTTTAACGTTTTTACTAATATGTGACATGATAATCTACAAAATAAATATAATTCTTATTCATAATTTCGATATACGAACAATCTATGCTTTGTCAGAATACAAATTCTTATTAGTAAATATGTTAATTATTAGTTTTAACATAAAATACCGATTATACTAATATTGATAGAAGAGGTAAAGAAATGGAATTAGATAAAGTTAAATAGATGATACATAAATTGCTTTACCCTGAAATTGTTTAATCGAACAATCTTCATTGTTTGCTGTGAATGACAATAATGTTAAGTACGGTAAAGTAAGATAAATATCGTGTAAAAAATAATAAAATCTATAAATTTTCAAGTAAAATTATGTTGTTAAATTTTTGAATTGAAATTAATGAACTCACTGGCATATATTACGTTATTATCATCATGAACAGTAATTTATATTGTCTATCGATGATATTTACATTTATACGTATCCTCTTTGTGAAGAATAATTCGTTATGGTTCAGTAAGCTTTCTTTTTTTTTTTTCGTTTTCTGCGTTTAGTTTGCACCAACAAGGATAAATTGTAACTACTACATATGTCATAATTTGGTTTAAATGTGTTACACCAATCAGTGTACAACGTGTTCGAAGAATAGATACCTACAAACACTCACCTAGTAACGTGTATATAAATGAGTATGAAAGACTATAAAATATATCATTTTATGGAGTAATTTGAATCTAAGTTATTTTTTTTGTCATTTTCGAATGGTAGTTCCTTTAGAGAATGATTCATATATATATATACATGATAAGTAAGTCAGCGACGTTTTCTATGACATTTATACTAAAGGCAGCGTTAAATGATATTTTATCATAGTTTTACGAAGAATAAATGAAACATTGAATTTGAATAGTTAATAATATATCATTGATTACTTTTTTACTGATGATAATATATTCTAATAAAGACAATGGTATAGTTCGTTTTTTTTGCGTTATTCTATCTGATAATAGTTTTCTCATTACATGTTTTTAAGTCAGTAATCTTAGTTGAATAGTGGTATGTATAAAAGGAAAAAATACAACGCTATTGTATTTTTGTTAATTTATTTCATTTGTTCAGTTATATTTTAAACCTAATAGAATATCAGTATATCAAGCATATGTAAAATGTGATATTAAACGAAACATGATATACTTGTATTATGACCTTCAAAACGAAGGTTTATTTATGTTTTACATGTGTTTAATGTAGTTATTTTAAATACAAACATCAAAGTGTTAAAAACGAGCTGAATTATTCAGTGGATTATAAATAATAATATAGCAGGAAATTTAAACATCTACGCCGGATATTGACTAAACGTACGGAAGTTTTTACTAGTCATAGAGATTTATACTTAAAATTTATTTTCATATTGATAATGTAAGTAAAGGTTTGGTCTAATAAACGAGATTTCCTAGGTTGTTATAAGTAAAAACAATACATGTAAAACATTGTATAGATAACTTTCAATTGTTATGTGAGAGAACGAGAAAAAGAAATCAAAACAAACTTTATATATGATGTACACAGAAAAAATCGTTAAAATTAATTAGTTTAAAAATCGGTGGTCACAATATTTTCAATTTATATGATTCACCATCTGATGAGTTTCATTTGTATCTTTTAGTTACCGAACATGAATTTCAGCATTTAAACAACTGCAGATAAAATATTTCAGTGCGTTTAGTTGATATTTAAATTTCTTATTATACTATTATTTTTATGGTCCACTCTGCATAAATAACTTTTGTATATTTAATATGGAAATAACCAATGCTTGTAGTACTTCGATTGAATTATTCTATTAAAGAGATCTTCTTATGTGTTCAAAGTAGAAATATCAGTTTCTTAATAGAGAACGTTTTGTTATAAAAATCAAATGAAAATAAGTATCAATTTTGAAAGATTATTTCAATGCTCAAATAGAATTATCTTCAAATGAAATTTTTATATTCTAAAAAACAGAGGTATTTTCATGACTAAGCTAATTGTTTTGTATTTTTTTCTTAGTCCTATAAACCAAAATACTTATAAACAATTTCGAATGTATTTATATACTACCGATAAATACAGTTTTAGCTCAAGATAGCTTTATAATGAATGTATGATATATTAACTGCTAAGAATAAATATAGAATTTTGAATGAAACCAACATATTTATTATACCAAACAAATATAAAAAATACTAATTAATTAAGTTTTACATTATGCTACATGTTTATTTGATTGATATCGTTTCGATTGGATAGAAGATTGCGTTATTTGTTCATCAAAAGTAGCGAAGAGACTGATTGCAATATTTATATTCGAATGTTGTTTATGAAATACTTTGATATCTCGTAGACGAAGAGGCCCATACATATCATTATCTCCTCGATAAAAACAGTAGATAGATTTTGCTTTTAATTCATCTTTTAAATGTGGCAATAATTTACTTTGTGAAACTTCCGTAGTTCCCCATGGATAAAAGTTAAAGATTAAATGACGAATACGTTTTTTAGCAAACAATTTTTTTGCTGAATCAATAACTTTTGATTCCGATCCTTCAGCATCAATTTTAAGTATGAAGATTGACAAAGCTGACCATGCAACATCATCAAGTCGAATAGTTTCTACTACAATAGGATTATCATCCATCACACCTGGTGCAATATCTCCAACTGGGTAATTTACAGTAGAATTTGATGGACAATCACTAACGCTTTTATGAAAAAGATGAACACGAGATGTTGGAAATGAATTATGCTGAATTGATGAACGAAGAAGAGTAACCCTGTGCGGTCTTGGTTCAAACATATAAACAGTACAACCACATGCAGCTGCGTAAAGACCAAAATCACCTAGAACAATGGATTCTTTTTCTTATAGTCAATACAATATATTTTAATTTGTACCTAGATGAGCACCAACATCAACAATAATAGTCGATGGATCTCGTTTACATGTTTCAAAGAGTTGTAGATCTTTGAGTAACTTGTCTTGTGCATGATCAGGCTCAACAAATGGTCTATCGTCAGCTCTTAGTGCAAGTTTGTATGGAAGAATTCGATGTTTCACATCAATCACAACTTCAGGAACAGGAGTTGTTGTAAGTTCCTCTTGTGTGTGTATTAGATTTGTAAGCCGTGAATAAACTGCATTGATCAACACCAAAGGTAATTTCAAAGGAGAAACAATATCAATATATTGAAATCGAGTGAGAAATATAAGAAATAATAATAGGAAAATATACCAACGATATTTTAACAAAGAAGGATATATTGAAGTATAATATGATCTCAAAAATTTTAATCTATGACCAGTTCTCTTCACATTTACCATAGTAATCTAGAAGAAAAAGACAAATAAAATGTAATTAGTCTTAGAAATATTTGGTGGTTTTAATATCTACAATATATATTCAAAGTTTCATACGATGCTCTTTATTAATATGATTAAAACAATTCTAACCATAGATGTTATCTTTTAAATACATTAAAACAGTCATCGACTGTAATGAAAAGGAATGATCATAAAGCAAAGAGAAGTTTTTATACTATAAAAATCAAGGTGCATGAATTGTGTCATCAAGTTTGTTTTTTCTTCAAACCAAAAAACATTTCTTTTGTTAATTGAAATGGCATACTTTATCATATGATAACATCAGTTTCATTTAAAGAAAAGAGTTACAAGCGGTACAGGAAATTTATATTCTATTTTTTTTTTGATAAAAATACTGTCATGGATATTTTATTCATTATATATGACATTGATAAAAAATTTCATATACGTCAATATACAGGCTGTTCGACACATCAGTTCCAAATGAATAGTTTTCATGGTTCAACAAACCGTCGTTCTCTCAGTATTCTTCAGTATATAAAAATATAGTTATAGTTCAGTTCAGATCAGATAGTTTACAATGATATCTATATATTATGTGTTAAATTCTAAACTGATAGCTTATTCTATAAGGATTTATTATTGAATGATTGTTAAGGAGTAAACATTGGTTATTTATTCAAACTATTAGAATTTGTACTTGTTTCAACAAATTTCACATATTAGGTAGGTTTTAAAGAAATTTATCTCGTTGAAAGTTGCCTCTATAAATTTATATTTAGATCATATAATTTCTTTCTATGAATAAACGCTTACATACTCATATAAACTGTGAACAGTCAAAGAAGTTCAAATTTTAAATTCATAGAAATTATGTTCAGATTTTTTTCTTTTATTACAATTGACATGATAATATTTTACTTCTACAATCTCTGAATCTAGTTAGATTAAAAACAAAATACATGTATGCTGATATCCATGTATAATTTGAGCCATTTTTCTGTGTTCGTTAACTATATTTATAGATAGAATGAATTTTTAGGCCAAGCATTTATTATTTTCTTACTGATGTTTGAAGCGTGTAATGCGTAGTTTTTTTTATCGAAAAATGAATTCTTTTACTTTACTAAAAAAGAGCTTGCGAATACAAATTTTGTAAAAAAACAATACACTTAATTTCTTTGTGCAAGAGCAACAAAGTCAGAAGATCTGGACGATATTATATCTATCTATTATCTTCTACTGATTTTAAGTAATAAATTTTGATCGCTCAATTCCCATGAAGATTTATTATTAGCTTTTTTACTATTGTCTCTTTCATAGTGAGGAGTTTATCAAGATTACGTATAATACATTAATCATAATATGTTGATTTTTATTAGTGTTTAATTGAAGGCTAATAATATTCACAATTAAACAACATCTAAATCCTTATAGGTAAACAAGATGTGATGTAAGAGATCTTACTGTTTTAAGATAGTTATCTGCTTGCGAATTCATGTTTGATTATTCTAGTTGTAAACAAAATATATGAATAAAAATAATTTCTCATCATTTGCATTTGGTATTATTTTCCTATAGAAAATTTGTAGCTAGAACTATATATGTCGTTTGTAAAGATAGATGAGAAAATATCACATATAATATATTATAATTCTTTTTCATTGTCCATCGATTTTATCACTTCTCTAATTGAATTCATTATGATCCTTCTAATCAATTTCAAATAGTATTACATACCATTGAGTTTTGATAGTAAGCAATATTCTTCTTAAAAAAAAGCACGAGATCTGACCTATTAGGATAGAGCTTTTTACATAGAGTCACACCAATATATTCAATGCAGCAAAAAAAAAGAAAAAAAATTATCTAATTAAAACTCAATCAGGAGGTTTATATGAATTATATGGTTTTGACTTAATTGCTGATCTGGGTGCTTTCTTGTCAAAAACAGCATAAATATCTGTTTGATATTGCGATTTAAAGTGTTGATCATAATAGTTTGCTATATCTATTGGTCGTAATGGTCCATATATAATATTTTCAGTTCGATGAAGTGCATAAATATATCTTGCTTTTAACTCATTTCTTATAAATGGCAATAATGTACTTTGTGAAGTTCGATCAGCCCACCATGGATGATATTTGAACATTAAATGACGAATACGATTTTCAGCAAATAGTTTCGTTGCTGAACGAAGTACATTTAATTCATATCCTTCGACATCAACATGAAGTATGAAGATTGACGATGATGACCATGGAATGTCATCAAGACGCATAGCCTGTACTGAATTAGAACCACTATCTGAAATAAATGAAGAACTACCATCCGCCGTATATTTGACAGTCGTATCCGATGGTACATCACTAATAGCATTGTGATAAACATGAACACGAGATGGTAAAAAGTAGTTCTGGTCAACTGATGAATGGATAAGAGTGACTATGTTCTGTTGCATTTCAAACATATACACAGTACAACCACATGCAGCTGCATAAAGACCAAATTCACCTAAAATAAAAGTTTTTTTTCTACAGCGAATAAAATATATTTTAATTTGTACCTAAATAAGAACCAACATCAACAACAATAGTTGATGAATCTCGTTGACATGTTTCATAAAGTTGCAATTGTTGAAGTACTCGATCTTGTGCTTGAGTCCCTTCAACGTTTGGCGTGTAAGTATCTTTTACCACAAGTTTAAATGCTGGTTTTCGGTCTTCTACGTCTACCACATTTCCAGGAGGATTTACTAGAGTAGTAGCGTCAGTATCACTTGCACCTCGAATAAGACGTAAACTAATATAGTTTTCATGACCGAAACTGCGTAATATATCAGATAATTCTCCATTCGAATAAGAATCAATCTTATAAAACAATATGACAAATACAATAAACGTTGATATTAAAACCCATCGAGATACTTTTGGAAAACCCAAAAATATTGAACTAGTGGGTAAGACTCTTTGTATTGATCTATTAACATGTTGAAGTCTACTTCTCAACATTATCTGGAAAGAAAAATAAAAAATATAGTTGATCTGTGTAATATTCGAAATTTTGATTGATAATTATAATCAATATATTATTTTAATATTGCGCACCTGTTAAAATAATGATTAATTATAATAAGAAGAGCCAAGTAATCATTTACAATCGAAAAGATTTAAAAAAAAAAGAAAAATTATTCATAAACAAACTATTCTATAAAGATGTGTTTGTTTCATTTTGAGAAAAATATTTCTTCCGTTGATTAAAATAGTACACTTTATCATATCATGACATCAATATGACTCTTAAAAAGTGTAAAAGTACTGTAGGAAAATCATGCCGTACTTTTTATAAAAAAAGAAAATGTTGTCAAGGATGTTTCTTTCGTTATATCTGCAATTCAATATAATAGCTTCTCATCTATATATCGATACGTATACAACATCTACAAAATTAGTTTCATGTGAATAGTTCGCTCGTCATCGTCTAATAACTTATTTTATTTCTTTCCTTTCATTTTTGATACAGGTAGAAACTTTTATAAGTACATAGAAATATATATGATTTGACAATCATACTTATTCAATCATTTTCAAACAATGTCTAAGAATTCACTTAGGATCATTGAATTTATGATTAAGAAATCAACGAGTTTATTCATTGAAATAAATAGAATTAAAAAAAATATTCAATTCACTCTGGTATAACATGTTTATTTTTAAAATATGGTTTTGACTTAATCGAAGATTTAAGAGTTTTATCACTGAAAGCAGCATAGATATCGGCTGCTAAATCTAATTTTATATGTTGTTCATAAAATACTTTTATATCCCTGAGACGTAATGGTCCGTAGATAGTGTTATCAGTTCGATAAAGATTATACATAAGTTTTGGTTTTAATTCATTCTTTACATACGGCATTAGTATCTCTTGTGTAGTTCGATTATGCAACCATGGATGATATTTGAAGATTAAATGTTGAATACGTTTTTCAGCAAATAGTTTCGTTGCTGAACGAAGTACATTTAATTCATATCCATCAACATCGATTTTAAGCATGAAAATAGATTGTGAAGGCCATTTAATATCATCTAATCGTATAGTCTGTACTGAAATGTAATCGTCAATAATAGGTGGTGAACCATCTCCAGGTGGATATTTGACAGTAGTATTAGATGGTAAATCACTAACAATTTTTTGAATGAAATGAAGACGAGATGATGGAAATGAATTATGTCTAATTGATGAATTAATAAGACGTACTACTTCTGGTTTCACTTCAAACATATAAACAGTACAACCACATGCAGCTGAATAAAGTCCAAAATCTCCTAGAACAATGGATTCTTTTTCTATAGTAAATATAATATATTTTAATTTGTACCTAGATAAGCACCAATATGAACAACAATAGTTGATGGATCTCGTCGACATGTGTCAAAAAAATGTAATTGTTCGAGTAATCTAGCTTGTGCTCGATCAGGATCCGCAAATGGTCTTTCATCAGGTGGAACTGCAAGGTTATATGCTGGTGCTCGATCATTCATTAATATTATAATATGATCAGGATTTGTACTGTTATCTTGTTCTTTCGAGTTTGAATAAAATTTATTAATTGTTATTTGAATAAATGCTGGATAAGTAATAGAACGATTTTCATAAAACTCAGTAATGAATATAAAGAATAGTATTGATAAAATAATCCAACGTAATTTTGACCAACGAAGCAATGTACAGATATAATATAACTTTCGTTGTTTCCACCTGTAATATTTTTGGTTAGATCTTAATCCGATCATCTACAAAAAAAATCAATATAAAATGTATTTATTTTTTTAAATATGTGTTAACCTCGTTATCGATATAATATAATATTTCACTTGAATGTTTTCATTGATTTGTCATACTATTGATATCCAATGATTAATATCACAAAAACATTTTAATAGTTTATAGAATTTGTAATAATATTTTTTTTTCGATTAAAAAAAATAAATCTCTTTGGTTGATGGAAGTAGTACGAACTATCACATAAGTTAATAATGATCTTCTTTTTTTGTAACAAAGAATGCACTGTTAACGATTTTTGATTGAATATAATATTTTTTATGTGTTGATTATATACATATATATATGCACGCATAAAAGTAGTTTCACATGAATAGTTCGTTACAGTTGAGTGAACTGTCCTTTCTTTTTTCCTCTATTGACAATAGTTAACTTCATTTCTCGAGCTACTACATTAAAATTTTTATGAATAAAACTCTTTTAATATCAAACATCGAAGTTTATTAAATCGATATTTTAATATGTAAACTGAGAAAAGTGAATAAATAAAAATCTTTTATTACCAGCAGTGAAAATATTCATATAACTTTTAATTTTGTTCGTTTTAGACATACGTGTTTTTAAAAAATATCAAAGTTAGGTTTAGAATATTGCAGCGCTATGAATTATAAAACTTTGATATTATTCAGTATTATTTTTGTTATTTATATTTATTTATTGCTTTTGTTTGAATAAACTAATTGTAATTAATTTAGCTTTTAACTTTACAAAATACTTATGTAATAAGAAAAAATAGTATGAAGACTACGTTATCAAGGGATGATGAAGTATCAACGATCTTAATAAATTCCATTTTTTTAAATAATAGTAGGACTTGTTTTTTTCGAAACAATTTTACATCATATTCATGAAGGAATAATCTATTTATTTGTCACTGTACGACAATAACAGGCTATGAAATCTTTTAATATAAATTACTTTTATTTGTAATTATAATCCAATTTAATTTATTCATCAAAAAATTTTAAAAAAATATACATTTTTCTAAATAATGTAACTATTATATGGTTATCCTAATGCTGTTTCATCCAATGGTTGTAATGGTTCATTCTCGATAATTTCCATCCATCCATCTATATTATAACGATCAGTGAGATAATATCCTCCATCTTTTATTGTCATAGAAATCTGACGAGCATAATTATTTGACCAACGACTAAATCGATAATTTTGTTCAGCAATACGAATATAATCACGACCAACTTCAGTAATAACTGCAATATGTCCAAATGGTAGATCTCGACAACGAGAATAAATTAAAAGAGAATCTTTTTTTGGTAATGTCGAAGAACCATTGGAATGAGCTATTAAAGGAAATTTTTTTCCATCAGTAACTCGTTCAATATTTGATAATTCACGCCAACCATCAGCTGCTGTATTAATACTTTGAAATGTACAACTTTTTCGTATTAATAACCATCGACGAGCAAATTCAACACATTGCCATTTAAATCCGGTAAATATTCCATTGAAATAACAATGTTCACCAGAAAAATAATTATCATCACCATTTGAATAAGCTGGAACATTTGTTGATGCAATACCTAATACTTCATTATAACGAACCATTCTCTATAGCGTGAAGAAATACAATCTGAAATAAATATATATTCTGAGTGCATATGTTTCATAAGAATAATAAATCTAATGGCAGAGAGAACGAGAAAAAAATGTGCTTCGTATATAGACGTCATCGATGACAATGCAAATTTTCTTTCTTCTCTACATCTGAATAACAAAATAGGAATGAAAAGAAAAGTAAAACATGAAGGTTGACATAATTTTTAACAACATGAATAAATGAAAGTCATATGAATTGCATGACTCATCTATAATAATAATTTGAACTGAATGGAATTACGAAAGAATATTTACTCTTTGTGTGCTATGCTATTTCATCATATATTTTGGCTAACTTTTTTTCTAAAAATATTTTATCAATTAACTTTAATAGATGAGCAGCTGCATTTATCTCATATATAATATCAACTATATCTTAATCTCGAATATTACAATGGAGTATACTCAGAGGATATATATTAGTATATTTTCTACCATACAATTCAAAAGTTCATTCATCAATAGTTTCTATTATTTTCTTAGTATAGAACTATTTCTATTTTTTATTGCCAATAATAATAACAAGTTAAACTTTACCATCGAATTTCTCTTATTCTAATCCATAAACTAATGCTAGTAGTCAATGAATTAGGATATGATTCAACATAGAACGATATATGAATTGTGCTTTATATTTACATTTAATTTTAAATTCGGTTTATATCTCGTCTCGAACCTTAATAAAATTATTCTTAATGAAATACTATAGATAATAGCATTTGTGGTCAAGTTTAATCAATAAATAAATTCCTTTTATAATCATGTACATTATGAAAACTTAGATTTTTATTCTTTGGTCAATTTTAATCAAAAAAATAGTAAACCTACCGCTCTCTAATTCTGATACTTGATACGAAATGTAACATAAGAAGAGTGTAAGACATATGAGTCATTTCGCACTGATCAGACACTTAGGCCCTCTGTTCTCTTTACTCATTTTAGTTAGTTTTCATTGGTTTAATATATTTATACTTTTTCTTTTCAAAAAATGAATCAAAAGATCGAATTTTAGTTACAAAAAAATATTATTTTTTATTAATGATTATTTTTGTTAGATATATACTTATATTTTTCTATATTATAGTTTAGTTTATTATTCTTATCAATTGACAAAGCAAGACTGATAGTATCATTTACTAATCCGTACTTTTTCTGTTCTATGAGAGATAAGACATCTGTGTACATTTTCACTTTTTTTTCTTTTAGTCCTTTTATCCCCCAAGTTATTTGATAGTTTACCAAGGTGAAAGAGTTTACATATAGATATAAGAGCAATAAAAATTGTATATTATACGAAGTAAGTAGCAAAAATATTCGTAAACAATAATTTTCGTTTCTTTTTAGATATATATATATTTATAATTTGTAGAATAATGAAAGGATCAATTCTCGGTTTAACATTATGTTTTATTTTTTTATTAATTATACAAAAATCAACAGTACATGCTGAAACATGTTTACATAATGAACGTTCAAAATGTACTCAAGTTCGTAATGCTAATGAAATTACATCCAACGAAAATGATCATTGCCATCATTTATGTATTCAAACAGGACATGCAGCAGGACATTGTTCATTAGAATCGAATTGTTTTCAATATTGTTTATGTAATGAAAAAGAGCTATGAAGATATTTTTTAACGTATTTGTTATGTAACTCAGCGATTTCTAAAATTATTTGACTCTTTAATAAATGTTAATTGATTCATAAGAAAATCTCTTAATGTAGTTTATTTATTCAAAATAGTGCGTTCATTTTATGTAAAGATACGACTGTAATATTTAAGTCAATTAAATATGGAGTAGTTTTGATTCCATTTTATTAGTAGTGGCGAATAATACAATTTGATGGATTCGCTGAGAAATGGTTCTTAACATATTTTATTTTATGTTTGACTTAAATGTACGATATTTTAATATAAAAAGATACTTTTAAAATATAAAGATACAGAAAACCATCGAGAAAAGCTCACAAGAAAATGAATAAGAGATTATGAGATATCTTTTTCTGTATTTAGTTTTGGATATAAATCTAAGATTTAATCGACTCTCGTAAGTAGGAGTCATGAAACAGCTGGTTGCATATATTTATAATCATATTTATATCTGTTTTATGAGAATAAATTCTGTTCTACTTTATAAAATATCTTCATTCGATTTTATAATTAAATAACAATCTATATTTTAGACATCAGTGAAAAAACAGAGTTATACAAACTTTGTTAATTATAATTAGAAACTCAATAGTCATGCCTATTATATATTAGTTTATATTTCTAAAATAATCATAATAAAAACATTAATTATAGTTCTTATTATGATTCTGTTGTTGAAAATGACATCGTTGTTTTTCAGTTTTTCCTTTCAGGAAGTAATTGCAATATCATATAAAATATATACTGCATGACGAATATGTATTCGTTGAGTAGGTAGAAAAAACAACAACAAATTATAACATCAACGTATAAAGCGACAAAATACACATTTCAGTATTAGTTTACGATGTCTAATCAAAGTATTACCACTTTTCTTACGTTACCGGTAGAGCTTGTCTACCGCATTCTGGATCATCAAACAGACTTCACCATTTTATGCTCAATGAGAAACGTATGTCAACGTTTCAACAGTATCGTAGATAGCTATCATCGATACCAGGTAAAATTTTTTATGCATGCGTCATTCTTGGTAACTTCTTTTCCGTATAAGTTTTCACAAGCCATTATTGAACATTATACAGTATGTAAAATCATAGATATGTTCATACTGATACTCATACACCCTGGCACAAGCTCAGAACTATACCCATTTCGCTAATCTAATCACAGATAAAAGCGATCAAATATTCCATTTCTTCATTTGAATCAAATCTTTTTATCTGTACATTTTCGTCTAGACACTCAGCACACTAAATCTATGGGGATTTCGAATTCAAGAGGTTGTAGCAAAACATTTGGGTAATGTATTAGAACACAACACAGTAATTGTCATTCTCTTCTCATCTATACCGTGTCGTTACCTCGACTTTTTAATCTAGACACTCATCATATTAAATCTCTGGGGATGTGAAATCGGAGATCTTGGAGCTCAATATTTGGGTGATGCATTACAACACAATATGGTAATTGTCATTCTCTCTTCATCTATACCAAATTTTTCTTTTCACTTTTTCATCTAGACACTCACGACATTGAATCTCTACCATAATTCGATTGGAGATGTTGGTGCTCAACATTTGGCCTATGGATTGCAGCACAATACGGTAATTCTCATACTCCCTTTACCTATATCATATTTTTATCTCTACTTTTTCATCTAGACACTCACCACTCTAGATCTCCGAGAAAATCACATCAGGGATCTTGGATCACAATATTTGGGTGATGCGTTACATTACAACACAGTAATTGACATTCTCTTTTCATCTATACCATATCTTTCTCTCTATTTTTGTACCTAGACGCTCACTACATTAGATCTTGGATCGAATAATATCAAACATAATGGAGCACAATATTTGGGCGATGCATTGCAACACAATAAAGTAATTCTTATGTTTCTTTTGTCTATATTGCGACTTTACCGCCACATTTTTTTTACTTAGACGCTCACCGTACTAGATCTCCGAAATAATCGCATCGAAGATCTTGGAGCACAATATTTGGGTAATGCATTACAACACAACACAGTAATTGTCATTTTCTTTTCATCTATATCATGTCTTTACCTCAACTTTTGCATCTAGAATCTCACTACACTAAATATCTGCCGAAATTCGATTGGAGATGTTGGTGCTCAACATTTAGGTTGTGGATTACAGCACAACAAGGTAATCCTTATACTTCCTTTGCCTATAAAATATCTTTACCTCTACCTTTTCGTTTAGACACTGACCGCATTAGATCTTCAAGAAAATCACATCGGAGCTGTTGGAACACAACATTTAAGTGAGGCATTACATTACAACACAGTAATTTTCATTCTCTCTTCATCGATACTATGTATTTTCCTTCACTTTTGAATTTAGACTCTTACCATACTAGATCTTTACTCTAATTGCATCGAACATGTTGGAGCAAAACATTTGGCTGATAGTTTACGACACAACACGGTAATTCTCATCCTCTCTTTATCTACACTATGTCTTTCTTTCCTACTTTTGTGTCTAGGCACTCACGAAACTGGACCTCGAATCGAATCACATCGGAGATGTTGGGGCACAAAACTTGGCTAATGGATTACGGCATAACACAGTAATTCTCTTTATCTATACCATGGCTTTATCAACCATGCTTTTTATTTAGACGCTTGCCATACTAGATCTCTCGGAAAGTCAAATCGGGAAGTCGGGAGCACAATATTTGGCCGATGCATTACAACACAACAAGGTAATTGTCGTTCTCTCTTCACCTATACTGACGTTTTACCTCCACTTTTGCGTTTAGATACTCACCACTTTAAATCTTTACTATAATTTGATTGAAGATGGTGGGGCACGACATTTGGGCAATACATTACGACATAACACGGTAGTTATTATTCTCCTTCATCTATATCGTATTTTTGTCTTTATTCTTTTATCTAGACCCTGACCACACTAGATGTTGGCATGAATAAAATCGGAGATTTTGGAGCACATTATTTAGCTGATGGATTACGATACAACACAGTAATTCTCATACTCTCTGTATCTATATCATGTCTTTACCTACACTTTTTCATTTAGACACTAATCATACTAGATCTCCGAAATAATCATATCGGAGATATTGGAGCACAGTATTTGCGTGATGCATTACAACACAATACAGTAATTACCATTCTCTCTTTATCTATACCGTGTCTTTATCTTCACTTTTCCATCTAGACACTGACTACACTAAGGCTGTGTGGAAATGAAATCGGAGATGATGCTATGCAGGAAATCAATGAATTTTTTGAACGGAATGTAAGTCGAAGAAAATCGTGAATGGTAATATTAAATGTATTTGAATGGCGAACGAACAGCTAGTGAAGATCATGCGAATACTCTTTTTGTCATGTAATGTTTATAGAAACAATAAATAAAAGTGATTGCTCTGAGATAGTAAAGAAAAGTTTAATAAAGAATTGTCTCGTAAGAACTAAAACTCTTTTTTTTCGAAGCGGTTTCCCTATATTTAAAAGCATTATCACATTTAGTCAGGCTATTGTTTTTTCCTTAACTGTACAAACCATCCAAATTCAAGAATAAATTCTATCTATTTTAAATATTAAAGCAAGCTCAGTTTAGATTATTGTCTCGCACATCAAAGCAGAATAAGGCAAGCAGATGGATTTCCATGAAGAGAGAAGATCTGTCGACAATTAATTAATATCAATGAAAGTTATTTACCTTCAATCAACTGACATGAACTATCTATACCAGTTTTCCTATTGAACTCAGTCAGTCGATTATTCTGGATTGATTTTTATTTATCTTTGAAACTAGGAACATTATTAAAACGTATGCCACAGAATAAAATGTAATAATTCAATAGTTTTACATTCGAAAACTAAGCGAGTAAATATCTAAAAATTCAGTGTGAACAGCAGAAACGATTTTATGATATTAATAACAACTGATAAATGATCAATCAAAATTATTAATCCATTGATATGTAATGCAAAACTCTATATTTACTAGAAAATCGAAATCAATATATCAGAATTACAAACATTTTCTTTCTCCATTTGTTTCAATTTCAATCTTATGGCTAACTTAACGATGATTAGCTCTTTTAAAATGAACGGGTGCTAATCGCAAATTTCTTATAAGACTCTTTGTGAACGTGAGAAATTCCTTTTTCTTAAGAACAGAATGGAGTAATTCAATTGTTTGAAAATAACTCGAGTTCATGTCTATAGAAAGAAAACATAGATATACTCATTCCTTCAAGAAAAACGATCATACACTTCATAATTATGACATAGGATTTGTTATAGAAACATTTTTCTTGTTTAATAAATATAATTCTTGATTCACTAATAGGATTTATTATTATTATGATAATCGCACCGAATTTTTGCATACAATCACCACTCGTGTTTATTTAGTAACATAAGAATTTTTTTTCATTAAAAAATATATTATAACGTTATATATCTTTGGCGTTTTTAAGTGAATAAAACTATCATCTAACTTGTTTGTTAAGCTCGTGTTATAAAACTACTCTTCTATTGACACGAACACGTTTATGAATATGGTAAATTATAGAGAAAAGATTTTATTGCATATATATTGTTAATGAACTTTAGTTTGAATATACAAAAAGTTCTACTAGTTAAGATTCTAAATCTCTTAAACAATATATTTCTTCTCTTATGTAAATACTGATAATTTTTATCTTTATAAAAGAAAGACAAGTTGCTTTCATCTTATGTAAATTTCTTATCATATAATGTTGAAAATTACATAAAATCAATGTTTATTTTAATCTGTATTTTTTAAAAGCACAAATCAAATAAAAAGATAGTATAATCATGTCAATTATATAAAAATAATTTAGTTTGCTACGGAAGGTGTCGAAAACGAAGCAAAGAATCGTTGTAATTGTGGTGGCATCATTTTTGGTTCAGTAAAAAAATATTTTAAATTAAGCATTTGTCGATAAAAAAGACCAATAAATAGTATTATTGCTGCTGCTTTATACCAATATGATTCGATCAGACGAAAAGCAAGAACAAAACCAGAAGTATGTGCTACAACATCCAATGTTGTTTCTGCAATTTCTTTACCAGATTGCATAATACTAAATCGATTTGCTTGAAATTCGATACAAGACCAATGAAAAATACGTGAAATTTTATGAGAATTATCTTCAACTTTTCCTTCCTCGCCACGTTTTGGTGGTGGATTCGATACTAAATTATGATAATAATAAAGATGAACAAAAAATGCATAAATCCACATGATATAAAGTGGCCAACCGACAGTTTTTGGTGAATGAATTAATACATTAATTAAATGAGTAAATCCATCGAGAAGAAAATAATTCTGTTGACGGCGAATAAAACCCAGTTTGGAATTACGAATTCCTATATGAATAAAATATCATTAAATGAATATTTTCAAATTAAAATCACATAAATAATCTGTAAGATTACCTAAGAAAACAAAAAGATGTGTCATAGACATAAATAATTCCAATCCAGCCCAAAGCGTATAAAATTCTTGCTGAAATATCATGATGCGTG